TGAAAAATACGGTGTTTTGTAATCATACGTTTAAAGCATAACATCTTTATGAAATGTACAATAAATACGAGAAACTCTAGAGTGCTTGTTATTTTTCAGTAGAACACTGCATAATCGGCTATATGAACTGTGTTACTGTAGGAATCGAAACTTAGATTTTAGCGTTATAATCTTTCAGACTCATTGCTGAGTCACTAGAAGCATTTTCGAAATAACGATTGAAATGAGAAAGCCGAAACATTGAGTATGATAATATGGTGTGTAGGTGTGAAATAAAGCTTCTCGCAAAGTTGAGTATAATAATATGGTGTGTAGGTGTGAAATAAAGCTTCTCGCAAAGTTGAGTATGATAATATGGTGTGTAGGTGTAAAATAAAGTGAAAAGTTGAGTATGATAATATGGTGTGTAGGTATGAAATAAAGTGAAAAGTTGAGTATGATAATATGGTGTGTAATTATCATACTCAACTTTGCGAGAAGCTTTATTTCATACCTACACACCATATTATCATACTCAACTTTGCGAGAAGCTTTATTTCATACCATGGTGTGTAGGTGGAAGCTTCTCTCAAAGTTGAGTATGATAATATGGTGTGTAGGTATGAAATAAAGCTTCTCGCAAAGTTGAGTATGATAATATGGTGTGTAGGTGTGAAATAAAGCTTCTCGCAAAGTTGAGTATGATAATATGGTGTGTAGGTGTGAAGCTTCTCTCAAAGTTGAATATGATAATATGGTGTGTAGGTATGAAATAAAGCTTCTCGCAAAGTTGAGTATGATAATATGGTGTGTAGGTGTGAAGCTTCTCTCAAAGTTGAATATGATAACATGGTATGTAGGTGTGAAATAAAGCTTCTCGCAAAGTTGAGTATGATAATATGGTGTGTAGGTATGAAATAAAGCTTCTCGCAAAGTTGAGTATGATAACATGGTATGTAGGTGTGAAATAAAGCTTCTCGCAAAGTTTGAGTATGATAACATGGTATGTAGGTGTGAAATAAAGCTTCTCGCAAAGTCTCGATCAGAACAACACTGCTTGTTTGTATGCTTTAGAGCAAAGCCACATTGGGCTATTTCTGTGTTCACTACAAGGAATCGAACCCCCGATTGTAGCGCTGTAAACTTACCGCTGATCTACGGGGAGACATAGAGTACTGCAAATATATCAATAAGACTTGAAATAGGTTGCATTAGCAAAAAACAAAACTAGTACGTGTTGGAGTAATAAAAAGATTAGAATATGACGGTTAACATTTCATTATCAGACATATAAAAGAAAATTAAGAGTGGGTATAATGAGATAGCTGTTATTGTTGCGAATCCAAGTAATGAACGAAATATTCATTTTCTGACAAATCTTAAAGGGCGCAATACCACTAATTGCTTCAGGACTAACTTTGTAATTGAAAGTTTCGTGATAAAAGCACAAGTAAGAGAACGTGGGTAAGATGAATGTTATGAAAAAGCGAAATGAACGTGTGAGGGAGAACGTCTTACTCTAAGCCACTCATCATAAAGTAATCGCAGGTTATATAAAAATGTAACGTACTTATCTTAGATCAAAGATGTTAAAAAATTATGTCGTGCTTTTATGATTTACATTTGTGTTAGTCCAGGGTCACGTCAACAATAGTTACATATAATTCACTCTAGATGGAAACACGTCATAACTGATAAAATATAAGGGAGACGTTTCACCGCAGGGGGCCGTCTTACCAAACTTTCCCCTATAATGTAGAAACTAACAGCCTAAGTACTTTCTTCCTCAGATTTGCTATGTGGTTACTTTTTTATTCCTTTAAAGGTTGTTGACTTTACGGGTGTTTTATTAGTTTAACAACTGAAATTCCCATGTCTTTAAAATGATACCGACTTAAACATTTGTCTGATATTTATTATCTAAACATTTGAGCACTTACTGTTTCATTTTGTAATTTTGCCTGGATTGATGACTCAAACAAGTTTTGTAAAATTTATTACATCTATACAAATGTTAAACGCTGGTAAATTATTTACTGTAGTTCTGCAGTGTTTGTATTTCCAGATAAAAGGTACATATTTCTGCTCAGTTGATATAGACCAAATTTATCTACACTGGGAAAGTTATAGAAAAAAAATTATATATATATCAGTTTTTTTACCCTGCTTTTTTTCTTACCATTCTATTCGCTATTAGGTAAGTATGCAAATATTATGCAGAATTATAAAAATAACAGAAAACATAAAATTTCACCTAGGTCCATGTTGAGGATAACTTCTTTAAAATGCACTGAGAAAAGATATAAGAATTCGTTGCTTTCTTGTAAACTGTGCTTAGTCTGAACTTTTCAGACGTAGTTTTGAAGTTATAGTATTGTGCTCTGTTTTTAAACTGTTTGCAATGATAGAAATGCGGTATCGAATAAAATCTGTTTATGCTAGAAGTGCGTATTGAACAAGTAATTGAAGGACTCTTTTCTTCCCCACAGGTTATGGGAATATAGCACCAAGAACTAACTGGGGAAAACTGGTAACCATAGTATACGCCATTGTGGGCATTCCGTTGATGTTGCTTTATCTGACCAATATAGGAGACATTCTCGCCAAGTCTTTCAGGTACGTCTATGGGCGGATGTGCACCTGTAAGCCCAGTGATCATTACAAGAGAGGAAGAAATAACGAAAACTATCGAGTTCAACACGTTGTGGCGCACAATTCCCCTACCAGGCAAAATGCTTTAGACCCCGGTGTCCAGGATAAGGTTCATGTAAATCCTGAAGATGAAGTTAGAATTGAAGCAATCCCTAACGAGCTTCCTGAAGACCTGGATTATCAGAAACCTCGAGTGTCTGTACCAATTACGCTTTGTTTAGTGATTATGGTGAGTTATATCTCTGGAGGGGCGGTTATATTTTCACTGTGGGAGGGATGGGATTTCTTAGACGGTTCCTACTTCTGTTTTGTTACCCTCAGCACCATCGGCTTTGGTGACCTGGTGCCTGGCGATTCAGTGGTCAGTGATAGGGGTTCTCAAGAGAAGTTGGTCATCTGCTCACTTTACCTGCTGATTGGTATGGCGCTGATCGCCATGTGCTTCAACTTGATGCAAGAAGAAGTCATTCACAAGGTGCGAAACTGTGGCCGAAGAGTTGGAATTATTAAAGATACCGATGACGAAGATGACATAGCGTGATAGAAAGTGTGGACAATAGGAGTTTCGACTAACAAATACTTAACATGACGGAACAATAATGATAATAATAAGTAATTAAATAAAGTACCTCACAAAAGCTTGAAATAAAAATAAGTGATAGTATCGTGCATATAAATCCTTGCAGAAACGGTGCTACTTAATCACTGGCTGTACCTCTTTCGTTAAGCCGTCACTGTGCAAGGCCTGCTGATCAGTTTACTGAACGAAAATAATTCTTACTCTACTTATTCCTCTAAGTTTTCAGCCGTATCAGGAAAACTCATCTTTACCAGATATCCACCTTTTTCATCACATTGAGATACCAGCCGTCTTGTACTTTGCTCTTGTTCTTGTTGATGGCGAATGTTGGATGAATTGGAATTCATCTTCCATTTGTACAAATGGTTGAATATATATACAGAAACTTCTTCAAGGTGTTAAGATATTTTTCTCGTTTAAAATTTCCGTGTATGTGAGCGTAACTGTACAAGCTGTTTTACTCTTGAGAGTCAAGGGTTTTGAATTTCCAAGTAAAATATTGTAAGGACTTAATTACAACTTCTGAGTGGTAAATATGCAAAATGAACTTCACCTAACTATAACCAGTACAACACAATGAACTGTAAAGACACCTTGAATTGCCAAAATACTCTCCAATGCTCACTTTTCTTTGCTTCATCATAAAGATATTTGTCATAGATACAGTATAACACAGTACACTTTTAGTTATAGCTTAGCTAACTATAAAAAAAAAACGATATTCACGTAGAAAACATTTAAAAACTGCAGTTGTTGCACGTATTTCAATTATATCTCAATAACACAACTTGTTCATCATCAAAATATAATGTTGAAAACACTTTTTCAAAATGTACTTTCGTACACTGTTGTAACTTAATAATTATATCTAATTATTTTAACATTATATTACAATTATCGGTAAAATAACATCTAAGAAGTCAACAATTTGTGATAAAAAGTAAGTTACATGTAATTGTATCTAATATAATTCTAAAGTTTACTGCCTGAAAATTTATATCAGCGTTATCTTTTATAAGAGAGAAACAAAACAATCAGAAAACGCATTTATGATCTAACAATTCTAGCGACAAATTCGTAGAATAATAACATTTTTCAGACTTGAAAGTTTTGTAGAATTATTTAACATTATTACTGCATTTAATAGACTAAATACGAAGCTTTTAATTTAGAACTGAGCAGCCACTTATTCCTCTTGTTATTAGCTACTACTTGTTTGTTTGTTGATAGTTAAGCACAAAGCTACACAATGGGCTATCTGTGCTCTGCCCACCACGAGTATCGAAACCCGGATTCTAGCGTTGTAAGTCCGCAGACATGCCGCTGAGCCACTGGGGAGCTAGCTACTATTAGTAGAAATTTATTAGTAACGTTAAACTCCTGAGAGCAGACACAACAGCAGCCTGTTAACCTGTACAGTCTATTTGTTAGTGGTAGTAGCATCTAAAAAAAGGTTGTGCATCAGATCAGAAAAGTGTGAGGAATATCACGAGAATTCATGAGCATTCCAACATTTATTCTGTATAAATTGCCTCATCCCCATCTAGAAAGCTTTCCTGGTTGTGGTGAAATCCACAGACTACAAGAGCATAGGGGAAACATGAAAAGCAAATACTGATAAACAGTTAAGAATGAGTTTTTTCTAACATTAGTTTTGTAGCTACTTACAGATGACAGAAAAAGCAGAACTATCTGTAGATTACTTTGCAACATCTCAACCAACAATTGGTC